TCGCTCTCCCTCCCAGAGGCACAAATAAAATGTATATCTCCAGAGAATGCAAAGCTAGCAAATCTTATAATTATCTTCAGGAACTCCAGTAAAGGATCCTTCAGGACGTTGTGCAAGACGTATGTTAGTCGTCTCTTAGACAACGAAGCTCCATTGTGGAGTCTTGTGAGGAAGCACGTTTATAAGCTAAGAAAAAAGGTACTAAGGTTTTTTACCAGGAGGTCGTTCAGAGGGTCAACGCCCACGTGGCCCGGTCTTTGACCAGGTTTCACGGTGGATCAGGGCCTGATCAACCAGATTGTTACTGCTGGCCGCACGTAATCCAGTGTACGAACCACAGTCTGGTTAGTTCATGAATTGAGAGAGTTGAACTATGAGGATAAGTTAAAGAACCGAATCAAACATCCTTAACAGAGGATGACTGAGACAGAGCGACATATAAGGTACTCTTGAGATATGGAAAGAGCAGACAGGGACCAACTGTAATGCAAGACTCAAGGGCAAAATAGCTTAGATGGAAGCCAAAAACACAGAAAAGTCACAAGGATATAAGGATATGATAGTTATGGAGTGGTGAAGAAGTGGCAGACACAAGCTTCATACACAGTTTCTAGAGTAATAAATACTGATAAGTATGATAGGGCCCAGTAGGCCATCAACATGAAATCTCGGTAAGACATCGAGGAGTCGGTCAGTGGTGGTGCCACCATTAAGTTTACAGTATGTGGCAAATTGAAAATATGGTATAGAGCGGCTGGCTAGTGTTTTACCTTACTGCGTTATATATATTATATAATATATATATATATATATATTAGTGTGTAAAGGTAGAAAGTTGAAAGTGAACATAGAAAAGAGTAAGGTGATGAGGGTATCAAATTATTTAGAAAAAGAAAAATTGGATATCAAATTGGGGAGGAGTAGTATGGAAGAAGTGAATGTTTTTAGATATTTGGGAGTTGACGTGTCAGCGGATGGTTTTATGAAGTATGAGGTTAATCATAGAATTGATGAGGGGAAAAAAGGCGAGTGGTGCGTTGAGGTATATGTGGAGACAAAAAACATTATCTTTGAAGGCAAAGAAGGGAATGTATGAAAGTATAGTAGTACCAACACTCTTATATGGGTGTGAAGCTTGGGTGGTAAATGCAGCAGCGAGGAGACGGTTGGAGGCAGTGGAGATGTCCTGTCTAAGGGCAATGTGTGGTGTAAATATTATGCAGAAAATTCGGAGTGTGGAAATTAGGAGGTGTGGAGTTAAAAGTATATTAGTCAGAGGGCTGAAGAGGGGTTGTTGAGGTGGTTTGGTCATTTAGAGAGAATGGATCAAAGTAGAATGACTTGGAGAGCGTATAAATCTGTAGGGAAAGGAAGGCGGGGTAGGGGTCGTCCACAAAAAGGTTGGAAGGAAGGGGTAAAGGAGATTTTGTGGGCAAGAGGCGTGCGTGAGCGTGTTCGATAGGAGTGAATGGAGATGAATGGTATTTGGGACCTGACGAGCTGTTGGAGTGTGAGCAGGGTAATATTTAGTGAAGGGATTTAGGGAAACCGGTTATTTTTATTTAGCCGGACTTGAGTCCTGGAAATGGGAAGTACAATGCCTGCACTCTAAAGGAGGGGGTTGGGATATTGGCAGTTTGGAGGGATATATTGTGTATCTTTATACATATATACTTCTAAACTGTTGTGTTCTGAGCACCTCTGCAAAAACAGTGATTATGTGTGAGTGAGGTGAAAGTGTTGAATGATGATGAAAGTATTTTCTTTTTGGGGATTTTCTTTCTTTTTGGGTCACCCGGCCTCGGTGGGAGACAGCCGACTTATTAAAAAAATGCATATATATATATATATATTGCGAGTGTGAGATAGATTATCTTGAAAGATTGTAATTCCTGTGTAATAGTAACTCCAGATCTGCCGTAGCTGATGAACCTTTTAATTAATGTAATGCTTGACATTATCATTTATTATTAATGAAGGGGATGTAAATAGCGTGCTAAAAAATATCTAACATAGACAGGACTCGCAGCAGTGGTTTTAAATTGGAAAAATTCAGATGCAGGAAGGATATAGGAAAGCACTGGTTTGGTAATAGAGTTGTGGATGAGTGGAACAAACTCCCGAGTACCGTCATAAACGTTAAAACGTTGTGTAGTTTTAAAAATAAGTTAGACAAATACATGAGTGGGTGAGGGTAGGTGCGAGTTGGACCTGAGTAGCTTGTGTTACTAGGTCAGATGCCGTGCTCCTCCCTTAAGTGAATGTGAATGGCAAAGCATTGGCTTCAGCCGGTGGGAGAATTGGCCCTGCCTTGCATGGGTCAGTAGGCCTGCTGCAGTGTTCCTTCTTTCTTATGTTCTTACGTTCTTATTATCCTACTGAAGCCTCCCATCTCAGGCTGATAGATTTCAGTTATAACTTGAATCCATCCGGTGTGATGAAATATAACAGAGAAACATGGCTAACTTCTGTCTTTACAATGTAACTGTTATATATATAATCATGTAGAAGTACACTTCTGATTTATGCAATTTTGATAAATAAACTATTTCCCTTCTATCAATCACTCTTGTTCTTCCTTCACCACCTATATTTTTTTTCTCACTGCCTTTCTATCTTTCTCTCCTGCTTTCATCCCTTTTATCCTTCTGTCGTCCTCCTTCCCCCCCCCCTTCTATCTCTCAACCTTTCTACTAACATCGCCTGCTCTTCTCTCTTCCCCTTTCCCTCACCTCCCACCCACCCCCCTCATCTTGGCAGGTTTACGACGCCACAGTAAACCTTGGCGGGATGGCCACAGAGTTTATTTGATTTCTTTTAAAGCTTCAATCCCAAGAGTGATTTAGCGCTGCTGACTGTCTGGTGTATTTACGTCTGCTGCCCCACCTAGTTACTTATACCAACCTTAAGACGTACATGTGTGTGTGGTGTGTGTGTGTGTGTGTGTGTGTGTGTGTGTGCGCGCGCGCGCTTCATTTTATCACTTGTTACAACAGCGTAACTAAGCTCGTGGTGTTTGTTTTTTAATGCTAAATTTATATGATAACTTTTATTATTGCAATGATAAAGCACTAACTAGCCGCCACTTGGCTCTTTCCTTCAGTTCGTTACTCTGTGAAGGAAAATGTTTTACCCTTTCGGTGCTATTTTTTTTTTCTAAACTTGCCATTTTTTGACCCCCTTCTTCTGACTGAAGAACAGGGGGTCCAAGACCCAAGGGGGTTAGAAGTCGGTGATGCCCATCAAAGCTGTCTAGGGGGCAGGGCCAGGAGCTAAGTATCGACCCCCTGCGAGTACAAATCGATGAATACACACGCACGCGCACATCCTACCCCAAAGCATCAGAACTGAGAGGAATGCGCTGTGAGAGGCTGAAAGAAGGAACTTGACATTAGAAACGACGAAGGGCTACGTGATTATTACGTTTTAAATCTTAAGCGAACTTTATTGGGCTGGTGAGGACAACCCCAGAAGGAAGGTTCCTCGACGCTGGGCTCTTGACCTAGGGAATTGGATCTGTACTCCTGTTCCCTGAATTGTCCCTGAATACCTTCCATTCCCCCTCGCATGCGCTGTTTAATCCTACGGGTTTAGCGCTCCCCATGATTATAATTATTATTATAGACCTCATCTTAGATACGCTGCCCAGTTTTATTTTACAAATTGCATAAAAGAGGAATATATACAGGAGGGGATACATAGATGAGTTACCAAATTCGTATCAAAACTCAGAAACAAACTTTATGAAGAAAGACTCCAATCATTCACCCTTTTTTCTCTCTCAAGAAACGGACACTACGAGGACACATTCGAACATGAACTATAAGAAATGTTGCATCAGTTCATAACTCGACTTAATGGCATGAAACCGCGAGGTAGATCATAACACAAACAATTGCCAAGGTTTTATATTTTTTAAACAGAATTATAACAGAATTAAACAAATTCGACACTAATGTTGTAAGAGCGAAGATAATACTGTCGTTCAGGAACCATCGTGACAAGCAAAGTACTTTGCAAGTTTAGGATTCAGCTGGATAGTGTCCTAGTGGAAGGCGTTACCAGAGCCATCATGACATTCATGTTCGGTATAAATATATCAGTCAAGATTGCCCAGTGAATCCAAATTGTTTTATGTCATAAATAAATAATTCATGTTAAGCGCTAAACTCGTGTGGGGTCTTTCATCGCAAGACATGCTGAAGGCTTGATCCTCAGTCTGATGAGCGCCGGACAACTAGTGATAAAAAGTTAAATTGATCAGCATGTGTGATGTTGGAGGCGACTGTCTTACAAATATCAGGTCACAAGCAGGACCTGTCTAGCAATTGCCCCATTACCTGGGAAGGGTGTGGCAGATTGGCAATTGCTAGACAGGTCCTGTTTGTGACCTGATAATTAAGAGAGTTGCCTCCTACATTACACATAGTATGGTGAGAGAACACAGGAGCGAGATGTTGCCTTGTGCATTCGGTGCCTCAACCACTAGCTAAATCCACGAGGACAGTTACATATATACAACAGATGGTGCATACTGAAGTCAACACATTCGTGATGTTTGTTCAGAGACTTCTTCTGGACGATCAGTTGATAACAATTCAAGAGTAAATAATGGTAGTGATAGATGATGAGGTTGTGATAGTCAAAGCAGAAATAGCGGTAACCAGAAGTAGAACCATTTGTACACACAGTTCTTGAGTAATTCAGATAGTACAGTACTATTTTAGTAGAGGTAGTTGTAATCCGTCTTCCAGCCAGTTAAATCTCTCCTGGAAACTGCATGCCATTTTTTCCAACATGGTCTGGTATATATTTTTTCATTTTGCTTTTCTTTTTTACCCTTGACTCGTACCCCAAGATAACACTAGATAGTCCTTAATCTAGACCGAAGTACATGTAGATCTTTTCAACAGATGGAGTCGGTGTGGACTTGCAAGTCCTCTGCTATGTTTTCCATGTACCTTCCTCTACATCTCTTACCTCACACCTTCCACGAACAGGACGAGGACATGCCTATCCCCGTGGGTCGTGTGTACGTGGAAGACGAGGACGACTGGGATGCCAAGGACAAGACGTGGGCTTGGGCCCAGGGAGAGCCTGGACACCCGCTGTTCACCCTGGACGCCCACTCTGGCTACGTCACCATGGGCGGACACGCCCCTGACGGAAGGTTAGTGGTTCTTTCGTCATTATTGACTGTTTTTCATATTCGTTTTGTTCTCCGCATCTTTCTCCCTCCTTCCTCTTCCTCCCTCTCCCCTCCCTTCTGTTTCCTATCTGTTGCTCTTCTGTGGGTTCTTCACCTTCAAACTTAGGAATCTTCTCACCAAGTCATTATTTTTTAAGACTTTTGTTGTGAGGTGTCGGGGGTCCTCGACAAACACTTACCTTCAATCCCTGCGCCTCGTTCCCACGTTGAAGGTGAAATATTTGGCTAAACTTTATCAAGAACTTTAAAATAAATTAGCCCAATTGCAATTCAGTTGGAAGAGAAGTTTAGCACACATGAACTAAATCCTTATTAATTATCTTTGTGTCTTGTATAACTCCAGTGTCTTCTCTCCTGTCCATCCTCGTCTTCTGGCCTTAGTTGTAAATGCTACACAAAAGGGTGTTGATTACCGTGTCTTAGAGAATTTATCGGTGTAGTGGCGGAACTTCTTGAGCAGGTACGAGCTTGGCTTCGTAGTGAGTGACAGCATCCAGGGCCAGAGTGGTGTAGCGGCCAACGTCACCGTCACCGTCACCAGTGTCGGCCGTGACGTGGTTCCCTGCGCCGTCCCAGCGTACGTCACCAGCCACGACCCCCGCGCCCTCATCACCACTCGTCAGGTAACTAATACACACATCTCTGCCTTTATAGGTGAGTGTACACTCACACTCTCACTCGTGGAGCAGGGAGAGCATGTCCTTCGAAGAGAGGTTAAGGGAAATCAACCTGACACCACTGAGGACAGGAGGGATAGGGAGGACATGATAACGACACACAAAATAATAACAGGAATTGACAGGGTGAACGGAGACAGAATGTTCCAGTGATGGGACACGCCAACAAGGGGTAACAATTGGAAGCTGAAGACTCAGATGAGTTGCAGGAATGTTAGGAAGTATTGTCAGGAAGTAGAATAGTCTGGAAAGTGATGAAGTGGATCCATGCATACCTTTAAGAGGAGATATGATAAAGCTCGTGTAGAAGGGAGAGAGTGGACCTAGTAGCCACCAGTGAAGAGGCGTGGATAGGAGCTGTGACTTGACCCCTGCAACCACAATTAGGTGAGTGCACCCATACACACAACTAGAACCACAATTAAAAATACTAGTTACAAGAAAGATAATCTTTCAATTTAAAGAATTCCTGAGTTTCTTTGACATGAACCAGTACTATATTTTTGGTAGATGATAATCATTATATGGGTAATTCTAGTCTTGGATCTTTGGCCACAGCATGAAGGCAAGACCCCACTAGAAGCTCTGACAGCGGCAGTGAAGCGGGTGGCTGGAGTGGGCGTGAGTGTGCTGTCCCTGGAGGGGCGTGTTGCACCGCTCACCAGCAGTAGCAGGGAGGGTGCCAGGGTGTGGTTCACAGCCAGTTCCCGGCAACCTCTCGACCAGCTCCTCCTCCTGCACCGCCGCCAGGTAACTCTCCATCACTCTTCTGTTTCGAAATAACGTGAAGAACAGCCATTTCTTGCTAAAATAAATTAAATTTTCTGTATCCTCATGGTCATAACTGACTGATACAACTAACTTTCCTACCAACGCTAAACTAGCTTCTGTCTAGTGTCCGAAGAAATAAATATTCAATTATTATTAAACTTTACTGCTTGTTTTCATCTAGGTTTTTACTTTAAATATATAACATACCAGAAGCGCCAAACCTCCCTGATCCTTCTTAGTCAGTTGAATATATCTCCTGTAAGTTTGGTTGTCTTCATGTTCGACGTCTCGTCCTTCTAAAATACATCTCAAAATTCTTGTTAGCGAATATTTCTATAATAGTCATTCCATTGGAATAGGCGAGCTGCTACACTCTGGTCATGTGTGCATTGATCAGATCGCTGCATACTACGTACTATATACTTTTCGTATGTCATTTCTTGTGCTCAGCATCTGTGATATTTCTCGTATTACTTTAATTTACCATGTATAAGATGTAAAATATAGGTAACGTCTTGTCTGAACATGAAGTTGTCTGTCGACTGCACAGTACAGCGCCTGAGTCGATGATGCAAAAATGAAAAGAAGAGAAAAATTGCAATTCCTTGGATCAAGAACACTAGATTCGAGGCCTTTTCCAACCAGATGCAGTGCATCATTGCAGTAGCTACTCTGCATCTGTGATTGAGTGAAGGGACTATAGCAGCACCTCCCTAAATTAAAGAATTCGTCGAGGCTGTTATGGTATTAATTGGTTAACAGGGCAGTTAATAAGTGAACATGACTAAACTTGAGAACAAAATGGCACAATACTGTGACTAGAACAATACATAAATAACCCGCACATAGCAGAAACAAACTTATGACAACGTTTTGGTCCGACTTGGACCATTAACTAGTTAATGTTCCGAGTCGGACCGAAACATCGTCTTAAGTTTTTTATTTTCGCCTATATGCGGGTTGTGCGTGTATGACTAAACTTGGTCACATCTCTTATTCTCCCAAAATAGAGCCTAGCCCGAGTCTTGCTCGATTACTGAAAGAAATAAGTCATTCATTATCTTATCTCTCCATGAAAGGCAGTTTTCAGTTGCGTCGCCTCAATGGCTTAATTTTTATGCACCCACAGCTCATCCTGTGAGCGGTAGCGCAAAAATCATGATTACAGAGGTCACATTGGGTCTTTGTCAGACCCCGCTGAGCATTGTTACATTACCAGAAAGAAAGTCATTTCATATCTTAGTTACTTCATATAGTTGTTGTACACGGTGCAGTACGGAATACAGTCTCAAATATATAAATATATATATATATATATATATATATATGTCGTGCCGAATATGTAAAACTGGTCAGTTAGCAAGAACTCATTTAAAATTAAGTCCTTTCTGAAATTTTCTCTTATACGTTTAAAGATATATTTTTTTCATTAATGTTAATGTAAAAAATTATAATTTTGCACTAAAAGAATCTTAGAAAACTTACCTAACCTTATTATAACAAGAACAATTTATTTTAGCCTAACCCAACTAAATATATTTTAGATTTGTTTACAATAATTTAATACTAAACAAACACAGTGAAATATATTTTTTTCGTTAGGGTCAGAATGATTTTGGCGAAATTATTGCATACACAAATTTTCACTTGTCCTATATGGCAAGATGAGCGTTGCTTTTTAAGCCAAGATCGCAAGTTCTGCCTATTCGGCACGACATATATATATATATATATATATATATATATATATATATATATATATATATATATATATATATATATATATATAATATATATATATATATTTATTTGTTATTGCCACTAAAATGGTTATAACTGTGTTGCAGTTTCCTCTATAGAAACAGTTCTATAATGCAAAGTGTGGATACATCCTCAAGATTTCGGAAATCTTATCAATGAGGTGTTTTGGTATATTGTGTGAGGTTTATATGGAGGTGTCTGAAAGGTTGCGTGCTTGGACACACTTAAGATATAATGCTCTAGTGTATGGAAGGCAGGTCACTGTTGTCATGTGGAGTGGTCGAAACATTCTACAGCATCAAAAATAAAGTGTAAAACAAGAGTAACATGGCACATTACAACTTCACAATCTGGAGCAATTGGTGAAAGGTGCAACAAAATAAGTCTTGAAAATGATAGTCCCACTACATGCAACTACCTAGAAATTCCTCTGAATGGCATTAGAAACAAGTGTTCACTGGCTTTATTTACACGGAATAACTTACCCAGCGAACTTGTAGCAGGTTCATTACTGAGCATTGGATTTGAACAGTGTGGAATGAACAAAGTTAGGTTTGGGTGAGGACACCGTACAAGCTCTCGCAGTTTTCCTACACCCAATATGGCAGGTAAATATTAGTGCCAAACAGTTTCACTGCACTTGGGCAGCGAGAAATAAGTATATCCCCGGCAGACGTAAGCTTGTTCTTTTACAGTTGTTGCAATCTGTTGTCCTGAAGTATAGTTCCCAGCCTTCACTAGCACTGCTCAGAACTCACATCTCAACCTCGAGGCTTGTAACAGTGTTCGACTCGACGCCTTCAACACCGTGGGACTTACTTTTTGTAGAGGAGTGCAAGGAAATTAAGTAGGGATAAGATTGTAAATGTTCATTTTTTTCTCTTTTGCTAAACATCCCAAGTATCGACATGCTACCCTCCCCCCCCATCCCCCCCCATCCCCCCATCCTTGAGTTTTTTCTGGGAAACCACTTACACCACTAGGATCAACTTCACCCAACTTGTCCAGTCCAACAGACCCAATCGTCTTACAGAAATTTCTGGTTTAAATGAAGTGACTCGTGTCTATTATTGATAATCCTGTGCTCCTCGTCTCTTATGATCGGTGCCACTTTGACTCCTGAAAAGACTCCTTGGTTTATAAACGCTCTCATAAAGCAAAAAAAAAAAAAGAGAAATCAGTAATAACTAGCAAAAGATGAACATGATATTGATATTACAGGTCATCAAGCATTATTCTAGTACAAGTTTTGTTTGGCTAGTGTTGAACCGTCGATGGTTCAAGGTAAAGTGCTCGCTTGATACTACACACCTGGGAAATAATCTGTATTATGCGCTGTCAAGTACACTTCAACATGCCTGAGATTTTTTTTTTCCGCGCCTTAAGTGCAGTCAAGTTTTGCACAGGAGATGTGTGTAGTTCTCTCGTTGCGTGTAACATTACCACTGTTTTATTATTATTATTATCACGGGGGAGCGCTAAACCCGTACGATTATATAGAGCATGTGGGGGAAGGGATGGAGGGTATTCAGGCTCAATTCAGGGAACCGGAGCACAGATCCAATTCCCTAGATCAAGAGCCCCTCACCAGCGCCAAGGAACCTCCCTTGAGGGGAATTACCATTGGGGAAGCTCGAGTTTCTTTCATAAGATCTTTAAATATTATAAGATAAAATAATGTCCCTCTCAGTTATACATTTTACTATGTAAGACAACACATGTTCGACTTTCCTCAGTATTGTGTCCAGTTTATTCCGTTTTGTTAGAAACTATTTCTTTTGCAACCTTTCTACGCGGTGTGTTGCTTTATGCAGCTTGTAAGGCAACACAAATACAGTGCAAGATAATGCCAGGAACATTACGTAATTATTAGCATAGCTACTACAATCCTTATCAAATTACTATTTTATTTATACTAAGCGCTAAATCCGTGGGGGTCATTCAGCGCTCTTACCATCTCGCCATACGTAAAAATAATTAAGTATTCAGAACTTTGTACACTGGGAGGTTCCTGGGCTTGTCGTTGTACACTGGGAGGTTCCTGAGCTTGTTATTGTACACTGGGAGGTTCCTGAGCTTGTCATTGTACACTGGGAGGTTCCTGAGCTTGTCATTGTACACTGGGAGGTTCCTGAGCTTGTCATTGTACACTGGGAGGTTCCTGAGCTTGTCATTGTACACTGGGAGGTTCCTGGGACTTGTTATTGTACACTGGGAGGTTCCTGAGCTTGTCATTGTACACTGGGAGGTTCCTGAGCTTGTCATTGTACACTGGGAGGTTCCTGAGCTTGTCATTGTACACTGGGAGGTTCCTGAGCTTGTCGTTGTACACTGGGAGGTTCCTGAGCTTGTCATTGTACACTGGGAGGTTCCTGAGCTTGTCATTGTACACTGGGAGGTTCCTGAGCTTGTCATTGTACACTGGGAGGTTCCTGAGCTTGTCATTGTACACTGGGAGGTTCCTGAGCTTGTCATTGTACACTGGGAGGTTCCTGGCTTGTCATTGTACACTGGGAGGTTCCTGGCTTGTCATTGTACACTGGGAGGTTCCTGAGCTTGTCATTGTACACTGGGAAGGTTCCTGAGCTTGTCGTTGTACACTGGGAGGTTCCTGAGCTTGTCATTGTACACTGGGAGGTTCCTGAGCTTGTCATTGTACACTGGGAGGTTCCTGGGCTTGTCATTGTACACCGGGAGGTTCCTGAGCTTGTCATTGTACACTGGGAAGGTTCCTGAGCTTGTCATTGTACACTGGGAGGTTCCTGAGCTTGTCATTGTACACTGGGAGGTTCCTGAGCTTTGTCATTGTACACTGGGAAGGTTCCTGAGCTTGTCATTGTACACTGGGAGGTTCCTGGGCTTGTCATTGTACACTGGGAGGTTCCTGAGCTTGTCATTGTACACTGGGAGGTTCCTGAGCTTGTCGTTGTACACTGGGAGGTTCCTGAGCTTGTCATTGTACACTGGGAGGTTCCTGAGCTTGTCTTGTACACTGGGAGGTTCCTGAGCTTGTCATTGTACACTGGGAGGTTCCTGAGCTTGTCATTGTACACTGGGAGGTTCCTGAGCTTGTCATTGTACACTGGAGGTTCCTGAGCTTGTCATTGTACACTGGGAGGTTCCTGAGCTTGTCGTTGTACACTGGGAGGTTCCTGAGCTTGTCATTGTACACTGGGAGGTTCCTGAGCTTGTCATTGTACACTGGGAGGTTCCTGAGCTTGTCATTGTACACTGGGAGGTTCCTGAGCTTGTCATTGTACACTGGGAGGTTCCTGGGCTTGTCATTGCACACTGGGAGGTTCCTGAGCTTGTCATTGTACACTGGGAGGTTCCTGGGCTTGTCATTGTACACTGGGAGGTTCCTGGGCTTGTCATTGCACACTGGGAGGTTCCTGAGCTTGTCATTGTACACTGGAAGGTTCCTGAGCTTGTCATTGTACACTGGGAGGTTCCTGGGCTTGTCATTGCACACTGGGAGGTTCCTGAGCTTGTCATTGTACACTGGGAAGGTTCCTGAGCTTGTCATTGTACACTGGGAGGTTCCTGGGCTTGTCATTGTACACTGGGAGGTTCCTGAGCTTGTCATTGTACACTGGGAAGGTTCCTGAGCTTGTCATTGTACACTGGGAAGGTTCCTGAGCTTATTGTACACTGGGAGTTTCCTGAGCTTGTCATTGTACACTGGGAAGGTTCCCAAAATAACGTTTAAGCACATATTACTTATTTAATATTTAGCTTATTTAAGAAAATCATAAATGTTCAGCAAAATCTAAGAGATTTAGTATTTTGAGTGCAAAATAATAGATTTTTAGTCAAAGTATTTTAATTTTAGTGGTAGGAAGGACTTGTTCGTCTGCCAAGAACATGATGATGACAGTGATGCTCACTAACCTTCACATTTGTTATACACTTAGTAATAATATAATATTTTCTTTTCTTCCAGTACATGTACAAGGTATACAGGCCTAGTTGACATCAGTGACATCTACTGTATAGAAAGCCGCTTGTTATGCAGAGCATTTCGGGCATATTAGGTCAATTTTGTCCCGGGATGCGACCCACATCAATCGACTAACTCAAGTACACATTTTATACTGATGGGTGAACACAGACAACGTATTACCTTCCTGTGTGTTTCTAAGCTCTCACATGTGTAAACTTTTCTTTCCACTTGCCCAGATCTCCAGCGACTCCGGAGTGAATGTGTCAAACGTTGGCGTGGGTGTGTGTGTGGGTGTTGGTGGGGGCGAGCACTCTGTGGGTGGGAGTGTGTGGGTGGTGGACGCTAACAGGACGGCTCTAGTAACACCGCGTCTGCAGCTCTCTGACAGTGGGTGCAGCTGTCACACCTACCACCCTCACCTGACCCACCCACGGCAGGTGACACCCAGCGCTGCCGCCCAGCCCAGCGCCGCCGCTGTCACTCAGCCTGCTTCCTGCCACCCCAACCCGTGTCTCAACGGTGGCAGGTGCATCGCCCACACCCGCCACCCCAGGTGACCTACCATCTTTCTTCAGGTTTGCAGAAATACCGCGAAATCTCGATAAGTAAGACGCGTGTGCAACATATGTCTTACTTATCTACACATGTACAACATGTGTCTTATCAGCTTGTCGGTATTATATCCCATTATTAAATTTACTGCTAAATCTCATCTCTTGCTTGTGTAGTCACGGGGAAGTACGACACCAGCAGAGGTCAAACAGTGCCTGCTACACGGAGGTAATCAGGATTGATGTGAAGTAGGGAAGAGTAGCTCTGATTTCCTGAATCAAAAGTCCTTTATTTCCGGTCCTGGCACCTCCGTGGAAGAATGATTTTTGCACTGCCAGACGTACAGTGTAAGTGATGTATCTTTTGTGTTGTTGGTTACAGTTGTAATTTACAATGTTATGTCAAAGTATTATCTGGTGATTTTTGAAAGTCTGTCTTCGGCGGAGGGGAGTCTGTCTTCCGTGGAGGATAATCCGGCTTCCGTGGATAATGTGATTTCCATGGAGAATAATCTCAGTAATCTTCCATGTATAAGCAGCTGTGTTGTCACCAAACAGTACCAACACACTCGCATTTCAACCAAATTACAGTTTTGACTGTAGCAACGACTGTACTCGTGGATTTCGTAAGTTAAGACTTGGAATATTAGAATAATTCTGTCCCTGAACTTTAATGATCTGCTTCATATCAGCTTTTACCGTTGAGAACTTTTTAGGAATGGACAAGCTTCTCAAAGTTCAGTGGAACCCTTGAAGGTTTCAACGCTAATAACCTCGTTATTAGCGTTGTACGAGAATTTTTTGGGAAGTTCAACGATGGGGTAGAAATCTCAACGTTTGCTTTTAAGGAGTTATCGCATCATTTTTTTCCGGGTTCCACAAAGAATAATGCCAAAAATATAATTGGAGCATAAATATATTTATCATACTAGTAGTTACATTAACAATTTGTGTACAAGAGAATGAGACTACAGATATTGGAAGAAAAACAACTTTTCATTAGAAAAAGCTTTTATTAATACAACGATTTGACTGACGAAATCGTAATGACACGATTGCAAACAAACCATACCACGGGTGGGGTTAGAACCCGCTACAGTCATAAAACTCCAGACCGACGCGTTAGCCACTGGGCCAGCTAGCTATGATTTGGCCACGCTGGGCTTTTTTGTACTTGATAAAGCCCACAGTGGGTAATGCTTGTACTTCATAAAGCCTTAAGTGCCGTGAGAGTGAAGACAAGTAGTCAAAACTAGTCAATCGAGAGCTTTCTAGCAATGCTCTTCCTGCACATTGATGTGTTAATGGTACGTTATCAGTGGCTGACAGGTATTGTCACTCACGCAGCGTCTGACATCTGTTGCCACGCAGTGGCTGACAGGTGTTCACGGCCTCCTGTACCCCCCCCCCTTCTCTCCATCTCTTCTTGGGGAATCTCCTACCCCTCTCCAATTTACTTACCCTCCTGGTCATCCTGTTTTGCTCGATCCTTTCTGAGTGTCCGAACCACAACTCTTCACTCTACGCTCCAAATTATCACCGTAATATTCACACCACACATTTCGCTCAAACACATCTCCACTGCATCTGTTTTGCGCTCAACAGACGGAGGATCAAACCTCCAGCAAGTCTTGCTCTGAATGATTCACATGGGTTTAGCGCTTAACGTGAATTATTTTTAATTCACTGCCTCCAGTCTCCTTGCTGCATCATTTTACAAAGTTCACTTTAATTATGTCTAGGTGGCTTTACGTTGCTTTAGTTTCCTGTGGCGTTTAGATCCCTCCTCATCGGTTGACTCGAAAGCTATTGCGAAAGTATTCTTGAAATCAGGTGGGAGTGTGTTAGCAAGGAAGTTGTAATATTTTCTGAGGGCTTTGACCTAAAGGGGCATTCATCGCTTTTCACAAAATGTTAAATGCACTTAACATTCATAAGCGAAAACTATAATGCAAAAATATAAAAAAAAAACATTTGAACCCAACAAGCACACTGCGGAATAAATGATATCGAACTCAAGTTTAAATAACCCGAATCATTTTAAAAATCAGTTAAATTTTTATTGCCAAATGATTCGTATGAAATTTCCCTGATATCTCAACGAGGTACCCTGGTGAGTACTGACACAATGGTAGGTAAAAAGCTACATGTTGTGGGTAAAAATTAACGTATTTTAGTCTGCAACATTCCTAGAGTCAGTGTCAGGAGCACCTGCAAGCAAGTAGCTCTGGGAGTGGTGTATGTGGCCTATTCTCGACCAATAAAGAATTGTCTTCATGATTCTTTTTGGGAAGAGGAAGGCCAAGAATACGTCCTGTTGAACCTTGTATAATTTGTTGCTCGTCTGTAGTGACCATAGGATCTGGCACTTTCCAAAGATATGTCGATGTATGTGGCACATCAAGCCACTGAGGCAAACGTCTGCCTTACTGCTGTATTCAAAAGAACAGTAAACCTGTTTAGATCAGAGTTGTATTGGAAGGTGGATGCTATTAGGGGCGGAAGCAGTGGAAGGTTACTTTGAATTTGAAAATGAGTTCTCGTTGATGCAGTAGGTTAGTTTTAGCTACAAAATCATAGGGAAAGACTGCATTGAAAATGGGACTTCAGGCAGGTAGGTAATTGGTGAATACATCAGGGGTATTAAAATACATGTCAAGGTGAAATCTTCATTCTCCGGTAATTAAAAGTTAGCGCAGTCTGGCAATCATCACGCAGGTGCCTGCCATTTCTCGATGATACAGTCACGTGAGAGTCGTGTTAGTGTCCAGTATTTAAATACGAAGGTAAGATTTCTGCCTGAGAACGATGGAGAGAAGATGACTAGGAATAAACTGCAGTTCGATGAGAAAGTTTTGTTGGTTACTGACTGCAACCAACGCCATTGCCAGCAGCGCACAAGTGCTGAGAGTGTACTGGGAGGAAAAAAAAAGTCTGAGAATGGGTCCCTTTCTTTTAGCGATTGATATATCTTGAATAGCAGAAGCAGCAGCTGAGTTGGCGAGTTCATTCATTGCCCAGGACCTCTGGGGTCAGGTATACGGCGAGAAATAGAGGCTTTCGCCTCAGCATCAGCACAGGAGAGGGAAGGAACAGAGTGAAGTAAAGGATCACTGAACATTTATAGTCACCCGAGTAATATTTCACACGGGCGTAGTTAAAATTCTCTTAATATGCTTAAAATTCTGTATCAGTATATTTTGCTGCCATCACCCAGCTGTAAGGATCCATAACTTAATACGAACGCTCTGGGACTTAATTGAACTTAGAGAAAGCGATGGAATGGGGACACGTAGCACAAACATAAATAACTTGATTTTTTGTGGCATTAAATATCAGTTGTGCAATAAAAAAAAATAACTCTTCGCTTTGAATTCATATTCACACTCTACTAAAAATTTCTGCTTACTAAAACCTAGAACAGCTTGGAATAGACAGAAACGTTAAAGTGGGGAAATATACAGGAAAGATTAAAAGATACTTACACTTCAGCAGCGTCCTGCGTGTCTTCGTGTCTCTGCGACACTCACTCCTATTCTTTTTCAAATTCAAATTCAAATTCAAAGTTTATTCTCTATAAGGATTACAATGCTGGGTTTACAGAAATTTGGTTATTGTTTGGTTTACATGTAGTAAAATTGTGATTACAGAGTGTACCACTAGAACGCTTAGCATGGCTAGGCATTTCGGGCATACTTAGTTTTATTCTTAATTGTAAAATATTACAAATTATAAGTACAGCATAACTTCTCCAGGTGGTAAAAGAACACGTGTGCAACTAATGCGACATTTTTATAGTGGCAACGTTTCGCTCTCCAGGAGCTTCGTCAAGCAGTTACGGCTTGACATATTCTTTTACCTAACATATTGCCGGTAATTCTACTAACATTATTACATAACTTCTCCAGACTGCACTCAACCACATGGTGAAGGGCTTATTATAAAGGATAATAGTTCCTCCCTTTGAATACTAGGAGATTTTTGAGATTTCTTGGTAAATGAGACTTTATTCTTGAAACTTTTCGCCAGCCAGTGGCTTCTTCACTCCAGTACAAAGTAAGGTGGAAGAAGAAGAGTTTGAGATAATCGGCCCCTCAGCCCGGAGTCAACGTTTCGCTACTGGCTGTACCCAAATGTTGCGCAAGTGTGTGTCATTTATTAGCTTGTCGGTTTTTTAAACCGTTTATTCATCGGTTTCTTGATGAATGATTCTTGATCCAAGAAATTGTAGCTCCCCTTCCCTTCGGATCAAACCTGATTGTCTCCCATTCCCCAAGCACTGCATGACCTATGACTGTATTAATCAGTGGGAGCTAAACAGGTTTCCGCATTGCTTTCCCAGTCCTCAATTATTCCCTACTTTCTTTCATATTTAAAACCACTTGTGAGCTCCCCATGTTTAGAAAATTAGCTTTCCTAGAAACAAAAGTTATCACTGGCCACTGACAGCAGCGATCTTTGTCAGACAAGTTCTCCACTAATAAAAAAACTACAATTTCCAAGACTCAATCGCGTGGTGGTTCATTTCTCATCACTACATTCAGCGATATTAATATCTTTATTCCTAAAGCATGTGGTTACAGAATGATAACTTAAGTTGATTTGTAGTGTCACTAAATGTTCATTTTTTTTCTCAGTTTCCTGTTCACCGTTGCTTTCCAAGCAACGAAGTGGAATGATCAAGTACGGGTTAACAGAACAGTTAGTGATTCCCTGTTCTCAGTAACTGCAAATTTCACATAAAGTTTAAAGGTATTCGTGCACTGTTTTATTGACGTGAGTTTTAATTTACCCCTGTGCAGGTATATAATCATTAGAACTGTTCTCGCTCCACCAGGTGTGTGTGTCCACAAGACACGAGCGGGTCAGTGTGTAAACAGCTTAGCCGATTTTTCCGGGGAAATGGGTGGGCGTGGGCGGCACCCATCCCGGCGTGCACGCAACTCCATGTCACTCTGGAACTACGTACAACACGTCAGGACTGTCTCCTGCTGTACGCTGGACCGGCGGATGATTTAACACAGCCAGGAGCACCACTGGTCCAGGTATGTTTACCGAGCATTTTCTTTCCCTAACACCACCAGAGGTCAACAGATGGAGGCTACACATCCCTGACCTAGTACAACCCAGGAGCACTCGTCGTCCAGGTAAATTCCATAACCAAACAGAAATACAGCGGTTATAGGCCTCGCCAGTTGAATATATGGTATGTCAGGGGAAATGAGACTGGATATCGATTCTGTATTTCGTAGCATCCATATCCTCCATTTTTCTTTCATCAGATTTTGATTGTTGGATGTCTGATTAGATGCTTTTCAACTTTTACTATATATTCCTAGTATTAAATAACTTTTCACCATATTTGGGAAGTACTGGTATATATTTAGTGGCATACGAGCCAGTAATGAAATCTTCGTCTCTCAATGGGCCACTCTGATGATTGTAAATATTGACTTAACTAGATGTAAACAAACCAGGAAACGGGTGGGGTTTGAACTCGTGAACTCTCTTACCATGGGTTCAAACCCCACCCATTCCCTGGTTTCTTTGCAGTCGTGTTAAGAGTTTACCAGATGTATTAATGTCGCTGCGCGATCCGAGGAAGGTATTCCCGTATTCTGTAACAAATCATACCACGGGTGGGGCTTGAACTCACGGTTAGAGTGTCGTAAAACTCCAGACCGACACGTTAGCCACTGGACCAACTGGCTACAATAAGATTCATCCAACAAGATTCATCCAACTAGGTACATTTATACACAATAGAAAGGTTAGCACAGGCACCACTGTGCCTATGCTGATATGGTTTGTTTGCAATCGTGTCATTACGATTTAAAAACATAAGAAGGAACACTGCAACAGGCCTACTGGCCTATGCGAGGCAAGTCCAATTCTTCCACTGGCTTAAGCCAGTGCCTTGACCTAGTATGGTCAGACATGTCACTTAAGGAAGGAGCACGGCATCCTACATAGTAGCACAAGCTAGTCAGGTCCAACTCACTCCCACTCGTGTATTTATCCAACCTATTTTTAAAACTACACAACGTCTTTGCGTCTATGACAGCACTCGGGAGTTTGTTCCACTCATCCACAACTCTATTACCAAACCGGTGCTTTCCTATATCATTCCTGAATCTGATTTTTTTTCCAATTTAAAGCCATTGCTGCGAGTCCTGTCTGTTAGATATTTTTAGCACGCTATTTACATCACCTTTATTAATTCCTATTATCCATTTATACACCTCAATCATATCCCCCCTAATTCTACGCCTTTCGAGAGAGTGCAGATTCAGGGCCCTCAGTCTATCCTCATAGGGAAGATTTCTGATACATGAGATCAACTTTGTCATCCTCCTTTGTACGTTTTCCAGTGCATTTATATCCCTTCTGTAATACGGTGGCCAAAACTGTTCAGCATAATCTAAATGAGGCCTAACCAAAGATATAGACAGTTGAACAACCTGAGGACTTCCATTATACTTCTTGCTATGAAGCCAAGGATTCTGTTAGCTTTATTGCGAACACTAATGCACTGCTGTCTTGGTTTTAGATTACTACTAACCAGAACTCCTAAATCCTTTTTGCAATCCTTAATATTAAGATCTACATTATTTAGTTTGTGTCATGGTTATTTTCCTGTCCAACATTTAGAACTTTGCATTTGTCTATATTAAATTGCATCTGCCACTTCTCTGACCACTGCATCAATCTATTCAAATCATTCTGGAGTGCTCTATTGTCCTCATTAGAATGAATTGGACGGCCTGTTTTGGTGTCATCAGCAAATTTTCCTATGTCGCTATTTATTCCCTCATCTATGTCGTTTATGTAGATTGTGAACAACAAGGGGCCCAACACTGACCCCTGTGGAACACCGCTTGTGACGTGCCTCCATTGTGAGTTCTTCCCATTTATGCAAACACTTTGCTGCCTGTTTGTCAACCATGCCTCTACCCAAGAAAAAATTTCTCCTATTCCGTGTGCCTAAAGTTTCCTCAACAGCCTCTGATGTGGAACTCTATCGAAAGCCTTACTGAAGTCCATATACACAATATCATATTTAGTACCATGATCTACCTTCTTAAATACCTTAGTGAGGAAAGTAAATTAGTAAGACGAACGCCCCTTAGTAAAACCGTGCTGAGATTCATTAATTAATTTATGCCTATCAAGATGGCTACGAATTGCCTCAAAAATTATTCCATAAATTTACCAACTATGGAGGTAAGGCTTATTGGTCTATAGTTCGAAGCTAAGGACCTATCACCCGCCTTGTAAATAGGTATTATATCTGCCATTTTCCACTTGCCTGGCACTATGCCAGTTTGTAGTGATATATTGAAAAGATTCGCCAAAGGTATACTAAGTTTCTCTTTACATTCCTTGAAAACCCTTGCAAACAGTTCATCAGGGCCTGGGGATTTATTAGGTTTTAATTTCTCTATTTGTCTAAGGACCATTTCACTAGTTACCCTAATTTTGCATAGTTTATTATTGTCCTTCTGTGGCATTTCGCTAGTATCTTTCTGAGGAAGTAGGTATTGAAAAGTTCACACATTTCCTTATCACTGTCAGTAATCTGACTTGAGTTACTCTTAAGTGGGCCTATCTTGTCCCTAATCTTACTTCTGTATACCTGAAAGAACCCTTTTGGGTTATTCTTCGAATCCCTTGCGACTTTAGCCTCATAATCCCTTTTTGCTTTTCTTATTCCTTTTTTTTTATTTCTCTGGGATTTATCGAGTCGCAAACTGATTTGTTTGTTCCATTCATCTACATTCCTGTCAGACACTGCAACTTCTTGGGATCTTAAGACTTGGGAATTCTTCGCTTGCCTACTTCCACATGGACAAATGTGACACCACCTACGACTGCTGCACCTCTCCTGCCTATGGTATATAAGCCACTTCTTCGCTCATATGCTGTATTCTATTCAATATTGATGGACTGACCACATCGACTCAAGGTTGAGGGACTGATTACCTCATTCTCCTCTTGTTCTTCACGATTCTCCTTTGTATGGACTGATGAAGCCACTGTGTGGCGAAACGTTTCCTCAATAAAGATACCCAAGAGTTGCACATGTCTAATTTATCAACATGTCGGTTTTCTGAACCATTCATCTACAGATCTGTTTGTGAGTTGATAAAGCCCACTGCGTTGGGCGAAACGTTGTTAATAAAGGATCACATTATACTGCTTCTGTGTTTATTTTTCTATTGTGTCGGTATTTTGTACCATTTATTTCCACAAATCACTTAATTTCAATATATCATGGAATTACCCAAATAACTGCAATCAGGTCTTTGTCCCAGCGACTTGATTGAATGGGACAAACTACCGAGTACCGTCATAGAAGCTAAAACGTTGTGTAGTTGTAAAAATAGGTTAGATAAACACATGAGTGGGTGTGAATCGGACTTGACCAGCTTGTGATAGTATGTCTGATGCAGTGCTCCTTAAGTGGATGTGACCAGGACCTGACCAGGTTGGGTCGGTGGTATAAGTCGGTAGGCGACTTGGACCTGCCTCGCATGAGCCAGTAGGCCTGCTGCAGTGTTCCTTCTTTTTTATGTTCTTATATTCTTAAGTCGCAGATGAGATTTCCAATGGGCAACAGAGAACAATATGATGTTCAATGAAGACAAATTCCAACTACTCCGTTATGGTAAACTGAAGAAAATAAAAGATAGAACTGAGTGTACTACGAATTTTAATCACACAATAGAGCAGAAAAGTGATGTGAAGGACCTGGGAGTGGTAATGTGAGGATCTCACCTTAAGGCTCACAACAGTGCCACTATCACATCGAGGAAAATGATAGGATGGATAATGAGAACGTTCAAACCAGGAGATGCCAAGCCAGTGATGATCCTTTCTAAATCGCTTGTTTTCTCTAGGCTGGAATACTGCTGTACACTAACATATCCATTCAAGGCAGGTGAAATTGCAGATCTAGAGAATGTACAGAGAACGTTTACTGCACGTATAAGTTCCATCAAACACCTTAACTACTGGGAACGTTTCGAAGCACTTGACTTGTATTCACTGGAGCGCAGGCGAGAGAGATGCATCATAATGTACACTCGGAAAATCCTAGAGGGACTGGGCCCTAATCTGCACGCAGAAATCACTTCCTACCAAAGCAAAAGACTTTGCAGGCGATGCAACATACCCCCAGTGAAAAGTAGGGGCGCCATTAGTACACTAAGAGAAAACACAACAAGTGTCCGGGGCCCAAAATTTTTCAACAACCTCCCACCAGCCGTAAGGGGAATTACCAATAGACCCCTGGTTGTCTTCAGGAGGGAGCTGGACAAATACCTGAAGTTGGTGCCGGATCAGCCGGGCTGTGGTTCGTACGTTGGACTATATGCGGCCAGCAGTAACAGCCTAGTTGATCAAGCCCTGATCCACCGGTAGTCCTGGTCATGGACCGGGCAGCGGGGGCGTTGATCCCCCAGAGTACCCTCCAGGCAGGTAGAAAATTTAAGACAATGTAAGTTAAAAAAAAAAAAAGTAAAATACATATTCTTGGTTTTTATGGCGTTAAATTTAACGAGGATAAACTTTCCCATTTGCACAATATTCTCAGCAAAAATTTTCTTTCTCCAAAATTTTCGTTTGTTACTCGACAACACCTTATTCGATCGGCTTCAAATTTTCAAAGCTTGTATAATGTATCTTGGGCAAGATTCACAGGATTATTTACATGCGTGGGTGCACTACACACACTGTAAGGGGAACGTCAGTACGCCTGTCTTCTAATATTATTCCACTATAATCTACATTATCCATAATTACTATCGCATTTGCTTTGTCTGTTTCGTAAGGTGAAGTCCAGGATCTTTCCTTAATTCATGGTATAACTTAACAAATCTTTGAGGACAACTGTGTTGTAGAGTTCTGAGCTTTGCTCAGAACTCTACAACACAACTTTCCTCTGGTGAATATAAAACAGTCCAGTCTTTAATGGCTGATGCATCATCTTATGAGATGATGGATCAAACATTTCTTGGCTTTAGGCTGTGCAGGTGCACATTTG